TGGGGAGGGGCAGGCGATGGGCAGCAAATAGGACTTGGGAAGCAGATAGAACTGGGGACGGCACCCTCCGTCTACTGATGGAAGATGCTGACAAATAGAAGACAGTTTTTTTTCCTCCCAGCCCATTCTCTCTGATCCCTCTCCCAGCTGCCATCCGGGCTCTGTCCCTCGCGCAGGGAGGGCAGGACCCCTGGCTTCCTCCTTCTCTCACCTCACTGTGATCATCCACCTTAGGAGACTAAGCCATGATGGATCTGGTTTTCACCAGGCAGAGGGGTGGAGCCTAGAACTGGCTCCACACAGACCCTGGGCTGCTTATGGCACAGTCACAGCCAGGGTTGCGCCTTTTCTCTTCAAGCCCCATTTTCACCCCCTGCCATGCCCACTAGAGTTACCGTGCCACGGAGGTCTCCACCGAATCTAAATCTCCCTGGTGTCTCCCTTACTTCTCACCATCAGGAGGAAGCAGACGGGAGGCGCACCATGGAGCTCGAGGTCCGCCAGCTCTGCTCCAGCACCCTGCAGTCCCTGGCTGACTCCCCCAGAATGGCCAATGTAAGTGACCCTGCCCCTCTCCATTGGACACAGGCCTCTCTGGGTCTGAGCTTTTCGATGAGACAGACCCCAACCAGACTTATTTATCTGAGCCTCCCCGCTCCAGAACATCATGGGGTTGGGTAAAATGGACCCCGGATCCGAGCCAGACCTGGGTCTTTGGAACAGGGAACACTCACTGGCTGAGTGCCCCTGCACGCCAGCGTTTGGTGTCACAGGGGCTCTTCCGCTCGAGTATCCCCTGTGGTCAGTCATGCTGGTTCTGCAGCTTCCATAGCTCAGTCCATCTTCATTGGTCCTTCTGTTAACTTTTCCCTGGCTGTTACAGGGTGGGGTCTATACAGCCCATCACATTCTTGTTTTGCAAAAGCCAACCCTAGCCCAGGAGTTCCTGCCTCTCACCCACACTACCCTGGTGCCTACGGGAGAATCCACTGAGCTGGGAGACACTACATCCAAATCTCATCTCTGCCGACTATTGCTTAGGTTTCCACACACTGCACAGACCTGATTACTGACCCAGGCATCAGAACGCAAGCCTAAGCAGTCAAGTATTAGCCAGCCCCCTTCCTACACTGAACAAATTAACAGCGAGGTTGCGCACAGTCACTTCAGGCAGAGCTGAGACTAGAAGCCACATTTCTAATAAGGCAGACCCAAGTATTGTGCACTCAGCTACACTGTCTTTCAGATTGAGCATGCCCAATATAGGTGCTTTAGTTACTACAGGTGGGGATAGACCCCCAGGGATTCCTGATCTCCACTGTTCTATACTGTCTAGCAAAGAGTTGTGTAACCCTCTGGCACAGTGTGTGTTAAGTCCCCCTCTTGTCCACACAGCAGACAGCAATTGCGTCTGTGCTTCAAGTGGCGCAGGTCTGTGTGGGGATATGAAGGTCAGAGCTCAAACCTCCCTGAGCGCCTGTCATGGTTTCACTTGATAGTATTGGGTTTCCTAGTCTCCTCTTTATTTATCAAGCTGGTGTGTTGCGTTCCTGCCGTGAGAACACAGCCTTTCCCAGTGGGACTGGAGTTAGGAAATACTGTGCTGTCAATGATGATGCTACACTCAACAAAAGGCGGGGGGTCAGTCATGTGTCACTTGATTTGGTGCTGGAGGCAGACACTGATAGGTGTGAAGGGGAGGGGGTGGGGATCGCTGCATGGTTCAGGCTGGGTAGAGAGGTCTGGCTGGCGGTGGCGAGGCCAGGGGTCCTGTCTAGTGTAGGAAAGAGAGAGCTGGTGCAGGAAGAGGATATTTCCGTACTGAGATGGCTTTTCTCTGCTCTGCAGGTTTTATGGCCTGGGCTGCTCCTTCAACTGAGCCCAGCAGCCCATGGGCCAGCCCTGCCTCTCCTCCTGCAGACCTCGGTCGAGGTGGTAAAGAGGATGCAGGAGGAAGGCAGGCTGCCCTTGGCCAGGAGGTGCGGCAAGGCGAACAGAGGTGAGTCCCAGTATTTTATCCACCCGCTCTTAGTCCTTCTGTAGCGAGAGGCGTCTGCCCCCAGGTGAGGGTGGGGATCAGCTCTTGGCTCTGGTTCCGGCTCACTGCAAGGACACAGCCAGCCGTCAAGGGCACAGGTAGAGCTCAGAGACGAATGCAAAAGATCCCTCCAGAGCCTGATGGGATGTCCCCCCTTTCTGTTCACAGGGTGTCGGTCAAGCCCCAAGTCCACTCTACCCCAGGAGCTGCTGGCTCGGCTGCTGGTGAGTAACCCGCAGTCAGGAGGTTCCTTATGCTCAGTGGGAAGGGGCCGCTCCTGGAGCTGGCATGCAGTGTGTGGTGGCTCTTCTCCCCGCGGCCCCCAGAGGAGCTGGCTCGTCACATTCCTCGCATTCATTGCACATCGACCCAGCGCCTCTCGGCATTTAACAGAACCAGCGAGCTCTCTGAGCCAGCCACCTTCCTGGCTCCCCGATCCTGGGGCTGGACCAGGTCCCCCAGCACCAGTCAGTGCAGCCCTCGGACGGCTCCAATAGAAGGCAGCTGGAATGAGCCCTTAGGGACTGTTGTGCAGGCCCCCTCCTGCCCCCTGGCCTCCAGCATCCTCCCTTACCAAGGGGCAGCTGGGGATTCCCTTTATGGCCCAGCTGCCTCTTTCGGGCTGCTTCAAGCTCCCCTTGTGCTGCTCTAACCTAGGCCAAGGATCTGACTCAGCAGCTGCCTGACGGCCTCTGGATAATCCTGTCTCCCTTCATCTGAGCTAGAGCCAGCCCAGGAGTGAGAGGATGGAAGGAGCCAATAGCTGGTCCATGGAGTGTCCCTGATCAACTGAAATATCCATCTCAATCCTGTCCTGGTTGTCAGCTCCACCTCCCTGCTGTCTCCTTCCCTCCATCACTGAGCTCTCCCCCTGCACCTGTAGGGAGCTCCCTTCTCACACTGCCTCGCAAGGGAGGGGTACAGCCACCTCTGCCTCTTTGTCCGCCAGGTGCTCGGTGCGTCTTCGTTTATGACGGTGCAGGTCAGAAGGGCAGCCATGTTCCTCCTCTTCCAGCTCATGAGCATGTTCCAGGCCGGGTCGGGCCAGTTCTGGAATAGCTACAAGACGGAAATGCTCCTCTATGTGGAAGGTGAGGAGGGAGTGTCTCCCCTTGCAGGAGCAAAGGGAGGGGACACCGTGATGCTGGGCTCAGAGAGGGAGAGGCCAGGGCCTCCCTCTGAATCCAGGATAATATGATGCTGTGACCTTGGAATCAGAGAGGATCATGTCAGGATCGTATCCCTTGGTTCATCTAGCCCAGCCCCCCATCCCTAGACAGGAAGGATCCTTTCCAGGACCTTATCTAACCTTCATTCGACATCTCACACCCTGGGGAAGGATCTTGGCAAGCAGAACTCCTGGGTATTTCATATCAAGGGGTTTGGGTCTGAGGAGCATTGTTGTCCATCAGCAATTTTCAAAGAGCCATGGGTCCCCTCGGGGCCCGTGAGTCGGCAGCTCCTCCCCACCCCTTGCCAAACAAGAGCCAAGTTGAAGGCTGCTCCTCAGTAGAAGGGTCTAAATACAAAGGAAACTGACCTGCCCATCTCTTCCAGATCACAAGACCTGCTTCTGCCAGAGGGAGTGGGAGCAGCAGCTGCTGCAGGTAAGGGTCAGAGAAATGGAGGGCTGGAAAGGAACTCAAGAGGTCATTTAGTCCAGCCCCCTCCACGCTGAGGCAGGATTAAGAGGCCCCTCAGCAGCACTACATTGTGGGACAGAGGAAGCGGCTGAGTCCAGCAGATGCAATTGGAGAAGCACCAGGGGCAGCTCACAAGGATTCAGAAGCATTAGGAGAGACGTGGGGGGTGACAGTGCACGCTCCCTCTTCCCCTCCCCTCCCAGCTGTGGTGGGTTCCTGGCTGGAGCTATTGAGAGGACCAGTTTCTTGGCCCCTCTCGGTTCTAACTGGCTCTTCTTTCCCTGGCAGTTCCTGGAAGACCTTCTCTTCTTCATCTCGGACCACACCTGGCTGGGCTGTTTCATCACTAGTATCAGGCGCCAGCTGGCCCACAGTGATAAGCGGCCCGGTGACAAGGTCAGTGTCCTGGAAGGAATTGGGGTTCAGTGCCTAGTTCAGAACAGCAGTCGCTAACCAGGGGCAGCTTGGGGTCAGTGAAGCAGACAGCTATACCCAGTGGGCTCTGTGCATGCCAGGCTGTGCCCAATGCATCCAGCATGATGGTGTCTCTTTCGCAGAGCTTTCTCTACAAGTGCTGGGGCACCGTGCTGATGTTTTTTCCAGCAGAGAGCATCAAGCCCCAGCTATGGCTTCTGGTGGAGATGGTCGATTTCCGAGAAGAAGAGGAAAGAGAGGTGAGGTCTTTGCTCCTCCACTGTCAAGTGATCCCTCATTCTTTGTCAATCCCCTGATGCTACATGTGTATGTTCTGCCTTGGACAAGGTCCAGTGGATTGAAAAGATCTTCCTTATACCCATGCCCATGGCAATGACTTGGAGAGCCCATCCTGGCCCCTTGGCTTGTTGCTCAGCATTCCCAACCTCCATCTTTCTGTCTCTCAGGGATTCGCCCGAGCGCTTGGGCTGTGTGCCAGGCAACAGCTATATGAGGTTTTCGCCATCCTGGAGCACTGGGAAGAGTTTGTCAGCAGGGTGCAGCTCCAGCCTTCTGCCGGTGGCTCTCTGGAGGTACGGTCCCACCTAGCATCTCTGCTCTTTCATCCATCCCTTCACCAGCCTTTGCAGGTAAAGGGACCTGCCACGGAGGACCCTGCTTCCCAGAAGCCTGTTCAGCGAAGAGCTGAATTTCCAAGCAGTGGCTCAGCCTCCGAGGAGGGAGCCCTTTCCTTACTCCTCTGTGGAGTTGCAATCTCAGCACAATGGGGTGGATCCAGGGGGGAAGGTGGGTCCTGTTGTCTAAGCTCTCCAGGGTATCTCCTGGGGAGCTCAGACATGCTCCACGCAGCCCCATAAACAAGGCTCAGAGAGGGCCCAAAAGACACTGCCATGCCATCAGCTCCAGCTGACACATTTCTCAGCAGAACAGACCCTTGGTCTTCCCCTGAACTGGGCTATTTCACAGACCTTCCTGGCAGACTCACCAGGGCTGGCATGTCTGACATTAACCTGCGTCCCCCCTCTCCCCGCACCACCACCACCACCTTCCCAGTAACTCTCTGGGCCAGTGCAATCCACTGTAGTCCCAGTGACATCTCTGGAGCTAGGCTGAATTAAAGCAGCTGCTAGTGCGTCCCCTTCGGCTGCCGGGTCACCTCAACCACCCAATCCTGGGGAGCTGGGAAGGGCCTCGGAGTCCAGGCAATTCAGCTCAGCAGAGTCGCCTTTGGTGGCTAAGCCGGCTGGATGAAAAATCCTCCCCTGGCCCCAGTTGTAAGTTAGGAGCAGCTGGAGTCCATCCCTTCTCCTCACTCTTTCCTTTGCAATTCTCAGGAGCCAGCTTCCATCGAGCAGCTGAGAAGCCTCCTGCTCCTCACCTATGGGCACGTGGTCCACTCACGCCCCACGGATCTCATCCTAGAGACCATAGGCTTCAATATCCTGGCTCCCATGCGACACCACTATTTTCTGAGCCCACACGTAAGTCAGAGCCCTCCCCTGACCGCCCACACAGCACCTACCCGGGCTGTGCACAGCAGCACAGAGCTATGTCTTTGCATAAACTCCGCTCAGAGGGCTGGCCCTTTGCCCCAGGAGGGACAGGAGACATGGGAACAGCACCACTCTCTGTGACTGCCCCATCTCAATTAGCTTCTCTGATTCCAGGCCCATGGAAGCTAAGGGAAGGACTCCCATCTGGGCCTTGTTAGAGTGTAACTGAGCATCACTTGGTGCTATTGTCCCAGAGACGACTGTACCCTGTTTGGTACCTCTAGGCTTGTGCTGCACTCAGGGATCAGAAGATAAAGATTTAGGGCCCATTTCCCCACACACTGCAGTCGATGGTGTAGCTGGGCACAAAAGGCGCACGGAGGGATTCAGGTCCCTAGCCCGGTTGACAGGCCCTGGTGCTGAAGGGGGATTTTTGAGATAACTCTAGGTTGTTTTCTTGCCATCGGAGGTTTGAGGCCGACGTTCAGTCCTACACTGGTTACGATGCCCATATGCGCGTCCCAGCGAAAAGGAGAGGGGATGCTACTTTGGTTTAACTGAATGTTCTCCTTGGAGAACGGATGCCTTGGTAGGGAGAGCCCAGCCAACTGCAGAGAGCAGCAGATTCCTGTCCCAGATCAGACAATTACCACCTGATTGTCAGGGGAGCTGAGCAGCCCCAGGGCCCACTGACAGCTCTGGGAACTGCAAGTGCTCAGCACCTCTGGGAATCAGCCCATTCCTTGCATTCATCTCCAGAGATATTCCCCTAGGCCAGGGGTTCTCAAACTGGGGGTCGGGACCCCTCCGGGGGTCACGAGGTCATTACATGGGGTGTCGCGAGTTGTCAACCTCCACCCCAAACCCCGCTTGCCTCCAGCACTTATAATGGTGTTAAATATATTAGAGAGGGTGTTTAATTTATTAGGGAGGTCACACCCAGAGGCTTGCTGTGTGAAAGGGGTCATCAGTAAAAATAGTTGGAGACCCACAGCCCTAGGGAATGCAAAGATGTTCCACTCGGCAAACCAGGTCCTTTCCCTTAGAGCGTGAGGGCAATCCCGCCTAGGACAGCAGCTCCCTTGTAGAGACTCGCCCTGTAGCCTTGTGTCTCAGCTCTCTATTGCCTGTGGCTGTTTCCTCATTGTTCTCTCCCCCTCCTGCCTGTGAGCCCAGGACCCACTGGTGAGATCTGCTTTTCTGAGAAGCCTCGCGCTGGTGGGTGAAGCTGTCACCCAAGTGAGCAGGATTCCCTTGGTGAGCCAGGACACATACACCGTGCTGTCCCCCCTGCTGGTGAGTGAGCATGCTTGGGTCCTGGGAGGGGTCCCTAGGGCAGATGCACATGCCACAGTCTCTGGCGTTTAAAGGCCATGTGCTGGGTTTGCGACCCGGTGCCCAGGGCTCTACATTGTGCACTGCAAACCCAGTGCTGATGCCAGATTCTTCTGGTGCGATTCCAGCCCAAGGAATTAAATGACACTATTTTCCATTAGTGGATTCATGCTGCTTACACCTGGGACCATTCCCCATCCCACTTCTGAGGGATCTGCCCGGCACCCAGAAAGCGCCCTGGGGATTAACTCCAAGGGTTTTCACTCCGGGACATGATCCTGAGGAGTTAACAGGTGCAGCCCTCCCTTGGTTTGCAGGAAAATATTTGACCTCAGCTTTTCAGGACTCTAATGCTCCCCGTCACAAAATTGCCTCTGCCCAGATCCCCCTTCCCTGCTCCGTGCAGATGTTGAAGTTTCCAGATGTGCCGTCAGGAATGGCGAAATAGGGGCTCTGGTGAATGTCTCCTGCATTCTGGCCACATGGCCGCTCCCAGGCCATCTTCCCAGCTCCGTGCCCCAGTGCACTGCACGCTGGGGCTGAGGGTCGGTGGGGGCGTCAAACTGCGTTTGGAGATTCCACGTCTTGCTGAGGAACCGGGCTCCCCCAAATTCTTTTGCCTTTGACTCTCTGCTTTGTGCTGCAGGAGATGCTCAGAGTCAAGGACCGGGCCCGGCTGCAGAGCCCCGATCACCAGCATGCCCTGCTGGCCATCTCATATATAGGGTACGTCCATGGGGCCTGACTCAGCTGCGGAGCCCAGCAGCCGGGGAGGGGCAGATGGAGGGAGAGGAAGTGGGGGAGGGACGAGCTGCAATAAGAACCGGAGGATGTTTCTCCCTGGTGGCTCACTAACAGGCCATACCCTCCTCGGCCTCCGGGTCACTTTATCCAGCCCCCATCTCTGCGAATTGCCTGGTAAGAGGGAGCCCCTCCCGTCAGCATGAAGTGCTGTGACGGCGCAGGGTGCAGGATCAGCCCCGGAGAGCAGCTTCCCCAGCAGAGCCCCTGCCGGGCCCAGGGGGCATAGGCATCTCCAGACAGGACCATTCCCTAGGCAGTGGCTCTGCTGGAGATGCCCCCTGGAGCTCTGCTGCTAAGGGAGGGAGCTGTCCCTCGAGCCATCAAACTCAACCTGACTCATGCCAGGACCTGTCTCCGTTCTAATGGCCCCTCCTGCTCCGTTCCTTCCAATCAGGAAATTTGAGCCTCGCCTGTCTAAGGAACAGGAGGCTGAGACCATCAGCACTTGTATCACCAGCGCCATGGTTCAGCGCCCAGCCCTGGCGAAGCTGAGAGGGACTGAGGTGGCAAAAAGCTCCGCTATCCGGGCAGAGGTTAGTGAGGCATGGACAAAGCTTCCACCTGGCTCCTTGGCTGGGAAACTCAGCCACCCCCCTGGCTGAGTAGCTGGACCCTGGCCCGATGCAGAGAGCTGCATGTCCAGCCGAATCCAGCCCCTCAGTTTATTTTCCAAAGGGCTGGTGACAAGTGGCTACGCAGTTAACTCTGCAGTGGGGTTGGCAGGGAGAACAGCTGTAGACGTGAGTGTCTGTGAGACTGTACAGAATTACCCTGGATTCTTGGCACAGGGAACTAGAAGCTACCCCCCGTTTACACCAGCTGAGGCTCTGGCCCAGAGCGTTAAATAGCATTTGGTGCAGAGGGAGCAAAGCATGGATTCGGGACAGCCACACGGCCAGGCCATGACTCGCCCTGCCACAGAAACAGAGATTGGCTGGAGCGGGATGAACAGCTCAGCCCTTGGGGAGCCAGCGGGGTGTTGGGGGGCAGCTGGGGCCCCTCCAGAGCGGGAGGGAGGAGGCCTTCCCTCCAGAGCCCAGCTCAGTACATGTGTTGGGGAGCCCAGGTGGGAGGAAGGATTCTTTGGGGTAGGGCAGACCGTGGTCCAGGTGAGACCCATGTCTATGTGCAGGGGGATCAGTATCACCTGGATAAAGGGACCCCGAATACCAACAGCACCTGGCTCCAGACTGGGGGATCCACTCGTCCCCCTGCCTCGTGCACCCCACCTCCCTTGCTATTTACTTCCCTGCTTATCTCTCTGCTCCAGTCTCTCCAAGAACTGCCCTGGGAGGGCCTGGATCTTGTGCTGCAGACATTCCTGGAGCAGCACCTGACCCCCACCACGCTACTGCATCTCTTTCTGGTATGATAGGGAGGGGGGAG